AGAGTATTTCTAATTTTAACATGAAAATTACTTTGCACACAGACTATTCAAAATAAATACTCAATATATTGATGCGCAATTCTTTATTTTATTTTATTAAAAATACTTCACTAGAAATATGACTTTTTGTATGTGAAAGACTTGTAATATTAACTGAAAGATTGGCAAATTTTGTGAAGATATACCCAATATATAGAGAGTTATAAGTATTAAATTTATATCAACTTTAAACAAATACAAAAGGTCACGTGACTCAGTCAAATTGACCGACCCTGTGTTGGGAGAGTTAAACGGATAATCAGTGACTTTGAAATTTTCGTGTAACCTTCTCCTGATCTTTGCTTCTCTATCACTTTATCTCTGACTTGTTTGGAAAGCTCCTTGTTCTTCATGGTTGGTTGTTCGTATCACTATGCAAGTTGTGGCTTTAACAGATGCATTTACTCTGAAGTCAAGTTAAACCACTTTGATTACATACAGGCAGAGACCATTACACTAATCTTGTGACTTTTCAAACTAATCTTTTGAACCTTAACTGATTTAGGGTTGACGTAGCAAAGGGGCTGAATACTTATGCAATTGAGAAGATTCTAATTTTCTTTAAAAATCTAACGTACTTACATAATATCAGCATTTTTTTTTTTTCTCAGTTTGGATTAGATTGCATAGATTCTAAATATAAAGTCTTATTTCAAATTTTAATATATACAAGTATTTATGTCACCTTTTGAAATGGGCCAGACTGGTACTAGTTATCATCTATTGTCATATATATCCTTTACCTAAATAAAGGGATTAATACATGTTTATGAATTTTAACATCCGGTTAATGAGAATGTCATGTACACACGCATTAACATTTTGAAAAAATTCATTTTATAGAAATGTTGTCCAATGAAGAAAATATTATTATGCCATTTCCAAAATTCTATTCAGAGAGACTCTAGAAAAAACAAAAACAAACTTATTTCAAGAAAATGCTTTCACTCTAAAACACCCAAGTGAATAAATTCCATTCACTTGTTGAATGATTTGTTTTATTGCATTGCAAAAATAACTGATGGATAAAATGTTTTGAAGGTTGAAATATCTTTCTACAGATTATGCAGCTTCTGATAAATAAAATATTTTTATGTGCAATATTTGAATGCAATTTCAGCTTTGAAGATTAGAAAAAAACTTCATTGTGATACTTTTTTAAACAATTAAAAATGATTACATTTGTTACAGATTTCAATTATTAATTTTTATGTCTTTCTACACTTATAAACTTTCCAGTCAAATTATTTTATAAAACTGTAATTTTTATCTTTATTTTGATAAAAAAACATCTCGTGCAGTATCAGTGCATTTATAATCACTGGCTTTTATTAAATATAATTTTTTTAATGTATCCAATTATAAACAAGCTAATATTTTTGTAATTATTAATCAGAAGGTTTCATCTTATATATGTAATAAGCTTTGAACCTGTTTTGTTCCCAATGGGTTACTGGTAAGCTTACAGACTTATAATGTTAAATATGGGATTCAATTTACTGTGGTAGACATAGTGCAGATAGCCCATTGTGTAACTTTACACTAAAACACCAAACCAATCAAAAAAGAACTATTTTATATTCATACATACAACTTTTAAATTTCTTTATGGTAATTTTTTGGCTCAGTGAAGCAGCTACTAGGTCAATAAGACCTAATATAAGCACAATCTATCAGCCTTGGCCTTGTCAACAAAATTACATGGTTGAGTATAAAGTGATCTAATTATGGCTACATTATCTTTTTTCCAGGCTCTATGCAATAAGAGACCTCATGAAGCAAGAAGTTGAGGCAATGTTAGAAGCTGGAATCATTGTGGCTTCAAATTCAGCCTATTGTTCACCAGTGGTAATCTTGAAGAAAAGGGATGACTCAAACCGCTTCTGCATAGACTTACGAAGCAGAAACTCGTGACAAAGTTCGACTCTAAACTTATGGGCAACCCAAATGCTATCATGGCAAAACTAGACAGGGCCAAGTTCTTTTCAAAGATCAACCTCAGTAAAAGTTATTGGCAGATCCCAATGGAGACAAGATTTAAGGAGAAGACAGCATTTCTGACACCATACGGATGTTACCAAGAATATGAAGACAGACTGTTTCAGGTAATGTATGTAAGTAAAAAGCTATTAAGTAGTAGGAAGAACTATTCTGTGATCAATCAAGAGTGTTTGGCCATCATATTGCCATCCAGAAGTTCCAAAACTAACTATATGGGAAAGAGTTCATCATTCAGATGGACCAAGAACCACTTGCATACATCCAGAGGTGCAAAATTGATAGTGTGAACATCACGAAGTGTGCATTGTACCTCCAGAACTACAGATTCCATATTGAAGACACCATTGGGATTGCAAATGTTGGTGCAGACTGTAGGAGAAGATTTTGTGTATGAACTGAAAACAGTCTTTGTGTATAGTGTAAAAAAATATTATAAATATTTTTCTTGAAGAGGGGCTTACTGTTGTATATACAAGACTATTTAGTATAAGACTTATTATTTAGTTCATTTAGTGATCTAATATTTAATGATTATTTAATTTTAATAACAAGAATGTTAAAAGTAATTATTTTAAAGGTGACAGTTATGACAAATTTTGTTACGTAACTCGGAATGAGTTGTTGACATCATCTTACTTGAATCTTTTAAGTATTTCTTGTTCTGTGTAATATTGTTGTCACTAGAAGTCTAGAAAGTTCTACATCTCAGTTGGAATATTTATAAATTGGCATCCTACAATGTAAAGAAAAAAGCAAGTAAAGTGTGAGATAATTATACAGATCCATACTGAGTGATTGTCAGTTTAGCCATGACAGGCAATTTATAAAGAAGTATAGAAATTATGTCAGAAAACGTTCAGTTAGTGAAAGTGAAGTTAGACTGCCTGATTGTCAGTTTAGCCATAACAGGTGATGTATAAAGCGAGTTTCACAGTTTAACAGAGATAATGAAGAATAATTCATCTTGTCAAAGAGTGTTCTAAAGTAAAAGGAGACAATTATTTAAAGTTCTGGATATCGCTGTGGTAACCCATGGGGTAACGTAAGTGAATTTATCGTATATTGTATAGTAAAAAACAGAGTAGAGAAAAATAAGTTGTCTTTTCAATTGGGTTCTAAAGTAATTGAACCAGCTTGTGTGGACTTTTGATAGGAAAATAGAATTATTTAGAGTTTTAGATACAACTGCAATATCCTATAGTGTAAAGAAATTTTGTATATACATTTGACTTATTTTGAATATATTATTTTAAAACAAGTGGATAGTGTCCTGTCCATTTATTGTTTGAATATAATACCAACAAGTCACAGACACCTATTATAAAAGAACCTGCAGCCTTATATAAAAACTTGACAAAGAGCAATCTTTGTTTTACATATTTCAACTGTTAAGTTACTGTAATAACAACTATCTAAGATGGTAAAAAAACAAGACATGGAAAGTCATAGGAATTGTTCACGATTGAAAAACTCCTTCAATAAATCAATAAAAAATCCAAAAGAACAAGATCAAATCCATTCAAAGTAGCTAAACAGTAAAAATACATTGAATTGTCAAAATATGTTTCACAAAAAGTTTGAGAAATGTTTGAAAGTGAAATTTCATGTTATGAATTGGACACATTTACACAAAAATATAGACAAATTACAACATTCAAATTCAACTACAAAAAAAAATAAAAAATTGTGGAATTTTTTTCCCACCATCTATTTATACTTAGTAGAGAAGTAAAAATATAATTGGTGGAAATTCTCATAAACAAATTTTCACTTCATCATAGTAACTAAATTAACTCTTTGGAATACATGCATATGCAAAGAAAATTAAATCCTATCAAGATGTTACCCCTCTAAAAGCATATTTTGAAAAGTAGCTTACCTGGCTGAATTTTAGCCTGTCCTTCACACTGATAGTCAGTGGGTCTGACAACAATTACAACATAAAACTGAGAAGTAGGAAAGTCTTCTCTCTGGAAAAATGCATCTTAATTATTTTTAATAAACTACAAAAAAACAAAAAAAACAATATATACTAACTTATAATAAGAGTAAAAGTCAGTGACATGTTCGATGCTGGTTCACATAGATACTTCTATAAGCAAACAAAGTTTATACAGTAGCTTTAGCTGTTATAAATTAATTAAAGGCACACACTGAACTAGCAGATACATTAAAAGAATTAACACATAAAACAATGTATTGTTTATCACTTCTTATAGCTGGTGCTAAAAGTAATGAAATGGTTAAAAAACTGGTTGGGAAGTCAGTCACTATGTTACACACACACACATTTGTACAAGTTTATTTATTGTATAATACTTTGTATAATTTTTGCTAATCTTTTAAGTTAATTTTGATCAGAAAAACATGGCAGATTTTTGTAACTTTACACTTAATTCACAACTCTGTCCAATAATGAAAAATATTTGAAGCTCGAGTACCATAAGTATAGCTTATGCAACAAAAAAGTGATATTAGCAACATTTCCTACAAAAATACATAATGTCATGTGCACTTTGACTCCTGTCCACATAGAAATAAACATATGAATGATGTGTAAAATTTATTCTCAAAATAACATTATCACAAGCATTTAATTCTGATACCAAACTTAGAATTTTCTAATTAAGCATAAATAGCTTTTTGATTACTAAATGCATTATATAATATCCAGTTTTGTTTTTGTTTTTTGTTCAGGGATGAACTAACTGATTTTGACTTGAAAAGGTGCTTGTTTTAAGGTGTTTTTTTTAACTAGTTCCTCCATACTTATGCTTGACTTAGGATTATTGTAAAATAGGCAAATGTTTTTGATATTATTGGACCCCAGGTAGACAGCACTAACCTTAAAACCATTTGCTCAATAACTAGGAGAATTTCAAAATGATAAAAACCCCATAACCCAAGAGCTTTTGAAAAGTGGATCTTTCTTCTTCAAGGGCAAGCTAGGAAAATTTGAAACATACTATTCTGTCCAACAATTAAGATATTAACTTTTTTATATACCAAAAGGGCTTTGAAACCTGTCTTGATATAAATGTCAGAAAAGTTGGGAAAAGGTTGTATAATGTTTTATTAAACTTATCATAAAAGAATATATAAATCATTTATTAAAATATTTTTTTTTTTATGGGACCTTATATTAAGACAAGGTCTCAAAGACCATTTGGTATATAAAAATTGAAGAGTATAAAAAAAAACTTCTCTCAGACTGATATTTGGTATTTACTTGGATGAATACTTTTATGTTAATATTTCTTATGATTACATGTTAAATTTAAATACACTTATTAAGAAATAAGGTATCAATACAAGATGAAATACATAACAATTTAATAATGATAATAATAAATAGTATTAATTTATCTACATTGGTTCTTTATTGTCATTAACTTACTGTAAAAATATAAACAGAACAACGACAGTAGCTTAATCCCTTAAGGGTTTTTCATTACCGTAGCAATGCTCTGAACACAACAAACTCGGCACGAGGCACATTAAGTGGTGCATGATACATTTGGCATGTATATACAGGTGGAGATGATGTCTAGCATACATAAATATACAGGTGGAGACTATATCTACCATGCATAAATATACTGGTGGAGACTATATCTACCATGCATAAATATACTGGTGGAGACTATATCTACCATGCATAACTATACTGGTGGAGACGATGTCTAGCATACATAAATATACAAGTGGAGACCATGTCTACCATGCATAAATATACAAGTGGAGACCATATCTACCATGCATAAATATACAAGTGGAGACCATATCTACCATGCATAAATATTCGGGTGGAGATGATGTCTACCATGCATAAATATTCGGGTGGAGATGATGTCTACCGTGCATAAATATTCGGGTGGAGATGATGTCTACCGTGCATAAATATTCGGGTGGAGATGATGTCTACCGTGCATAAATATTCGGGTGGAGATGATGTCTACCATGCATAAATATACTGGTGGAGATGGTGTCTACCATGCATAAATATACTGGTGGAGATGGTGTCTACCATGCATAAATAATCGGGTGGAGATGATGTCTAACATGCATAAATATATGGGTGGAGATGATAAAGGGTTAATAACTTACAACAACTCATGTAAAAATATTTTATTTCCCAGATGTCCAATATATACCACTTTTGAGAAACATTCTTACGGAGTTTGACTTACCCTGACTGTGATCCCTCCCTTATGTGACATTGTCTGATACAGCCCTACAAACTCAATTTTTGTGTCCAAATCCAACACTGGACACTACAAAAAAAGAAATCATATGTCAATTATCTGTATAACTTAAAGTATATATATATTTTACATTTTTAAAACATGTATATATATATATATATATAAATGTAAAATTATCATTTTAATCATAAAGAGATATTCAAAAGATACTTACCACCATCACTACTTTCTTAGGTATTACTTTGGCTAATTAACCAAGGTACAGACCTCTATTTGCATGGCACAATATCAGAAAAATCTCCTTCATATGAAAATGTGATGGAATTAGTTATTTGTCAAACACCCTTTATTTGTATCACTCAACTTCAGTTATATGTATTTCTTGCTCTTAAGATTAATAGCCCACTTGTCAAACAAAACTTTACACTTTTTTTTATCAAAGAGCTTCCACTTTCATTTTAAGATACAAAAAATTAATATCAAATCAAAAAATATGACTATTACTGTATACTTATTATCCATATGTATACATAGTTGAAAATGGGGTTGGAGAATGGAGAGATGCTTGTTACAACTGCTCATATGAAACAAACATGACAGAAATTAACATCACAGGATGTAATGTGTAATGTTCTATTTGAGTAATAAAAAAAAAAGTTTGGTTTTGTGAATAAAGTGGATCTCTATGGAGTTCTCTAAGTTCTGGTGTTTGCCCCAACTTAAGAGAAACTTCTCCTTTGGCCAAATAAATGGCCAGATAAATGGTCAAATGTAAGGGCATTCATAACTGTAAACATTAAAATGACACTTATCATGAGCCAATAAACTTCTGACAGGTAGTGATGTCCAGAAGATATGCTAAATTGGAGGTTTAGCATCTTTAATGAATTAATTCAGTTGAAGGAGTAGTAAAGTCAATAAGTGACAACCACTCCTCCAAGTGGGTATGTATATAAAGTACCTTAATCTCTTCACCAAAGCTGAGATAAAGGACAAATAGTGCCAATGTATATATATTTCTTCAGGAGGTTGCTGTTGTCCAAAGCAAGGATTTATCAAATCTAAAAAGAAAATGAAATATCCTATTTTCTGATGCCATGAAAGAGTTCTAGGGATAATAGTAAAAAGCAGTGTTGGGTGTTACTTTCTAAGAGGCTTTAAAAAAAAGTATTTCAACAGTCAGAGAACCTCAAACAGACTTACCTTAGTAAAGTCAGTGGCTTTTACATTGGTAGGTTACCACAGAAGTGATTAATGGACATACTAAAAATGATCTAAACATAATGACACTGTGCTAAACAAAGTTGCTGATAAATCTAAAAAAACATAGGTTAGTTAAAGGTGCAAAATTAAATATTCACCAAAAATCAGTAAAAGTGAAGTTCAAAAGTCACTAGCAAAGTGGTCAATGAAGGCTTCTCCAAAAAAAAGACTTAAACACACTGAATATAAGGTAAAGTGAAAATCTGCATAAGCTTCCATAATCACTGCTCCAAGATTTTCCAACAATTCTAGTTGATGCCATGAAAGGAAGCCACAATACAAATAAGTTAGTAAACCAAATACTACCCAATCAAAAATGAAAAATTCTGCCAAAGATGTATACCTGGAAGCAATATATACAAATGAAGAAAAGACGTGACATTAACACGCAGCAAGGAAGATAGACAAATTTAATTTCAGCAGATCAAGGCATGATATAAGAAAGAGCTGTATGGTACATCCATTCAAATTCAAGAAGAGGTAAATGGAAGAAGTAAAATGTAAGCTACCACATGAATGTGTCATAAAAATGAAGCAGCTGTAGGTAACCACCACTGGCAACCATAAAACAAGAAAAATGGTGAGGGATGCAGACTGTACTAACTATACAAGTTTCAAGTAAATAATGAGTAAAAGTTTGATAAAAGGGGTATCAGGTGAATGAAAATAAAGCAAAGAATGATAAAGTACATCTTAATGAGAGTGACACAGTCAAACTAGTGAAGAACAAACATCCTAGTGCTGCAACATTATAAGCCAATAATAAATAAAAGATAACCACATAATTAGGAGCAGGAGGATCCTCAGGCAGTTGATTCAGTCAGGAAGCTACGACAGAAGGAACATGTGAAAATAACCCTACCAAGTATACAAAACAGCAGCTGAAGTATTTATACTACAGATGAATTAAACAAAAACCAGTCAACTCTCATACGTACAAAACTGTCAACAGGCCAAATTTCTCCACGAGAAAGTGCAAAAGGCAAAGTTGTAAAATCTGGACAAAGTAGATTTCAAAAGCACAAAAGAAATAGAAACAACAATTATTATGTCAAAGTACATACAGTTCATTCAAAAAGCATTGTTTAATTAGATGCAGCCAGACATATTACTTTGGCCATAGGCACATTCAAACAACTTTGTATCTGGAACACTTTGCAGCTATGCAGTTGTGAACAAGGCCCAAAACTTTTTTCTGAGATGTTGGTTACATGGTTGTGGTCACTAATCAAATTAGCTACTGAAGTGAGTCTCTCATGGTTATCCTATGGAATATAGCATAGCACAGGAGCTTAAGAGGTTAGTAAATTTATTATTAATATCATAATGTCATCTTCAGTAGGCACTGATAATGTTACAATGTTCAACTTGCCATCAGACGTTTCCAATTATCTTCAAAAGCTGTAGTAATCTCTTTCATTATCCCATATTAATATTCTTAGAACAACCATGTAGTTCATTTGCAATATAAAAAATAATCAAGCTCATTGGTTTACTTTTTCTTTCTTCTTTATACTTCAGATATTAGTTTACACTGTAGAGAATTTCAGAAGCACAGAATATGCTTTACATATTTTTTCTAATAACATATAATTCATCTTAACCTTATCGCAACAGGCTCATATTTTACACAACCTTGTAACCATGGTGGTGTAGTTACTGTGTCTTCACAAAATATGTCAAGCTTTCAGTAAACATCAAGTCTTTTGTTGACAAAAGTTCAGTATTTTTACTAAAACTTTGTACATAATCGTATGAAGTCAAATGAGTTGATTGCTCCGAAGTGCAAAATGATTTTGATGTTATGATTAAAATATTTTTCTTTATCTCAAAATTTTCCAATTTCACTTGCATAATCCCTAAAAACCTCCTAAATGAATATCAAATGTTTTCTTTCAGAAAGACTTCATATCTTATCTGTTATTTACTATACTATAACTCTATAAAAGGTTTGTCGATCTGATCGACCTCGTAATTACTATAAAAAATTGGAAAATAATTCCAAATTACCCTTTTTATCTTTCTGGAATGACTGCAAATTGTAACAGGAAACACAACTGTTAATCCTAAATAGCTTAAAGCTTGTAACAGAATATATCTATTTTTACTTAATTTTATTCATTTTCCATGTCTAACTAACAATCCTGCCATATTAATTGTTTATGTGCATATATACATCGTAGGAATAGGAAGACCATTACATTTATGTATCTGAAGACACATTATAACTACATACAAATCTGAATAAACAAGTGAGCACAGAATAATTTTTTTCTGGAAAACCATGGACCACTACAAGTTAACAATGTATCTCCTTTTACTAAAAACATCCTTTCTGAAATGCAAAATTTTAAGTTAAGAAAATTGATAAAAGCATTAATCATCAAAGAAACTAATCTTAAAATACAGACAAAGGATGTTACTTTCAATTTTCAAAGAACTTACAAATTTTTAACATTACTTTTCACCTAAAAACTATTTATTTGTTTATAACTTTAAAATAATGTATGACAAATCAATCTCACCAATAAACTCAATATACTTTTAATGAATTTTAACCTATAATCATAATTTTAATTATTTTCCTTCTGTCAATCTTTTATCAATTTCTATTCCATACAATAATTTTATCTCTTTAGAGCCATACACTAATTATTCAACAATATATTGTTCCTGAAATTAATTGACATTTCTTCCCACTCCACACGTATAAAAAGAAGACTGAAATTATACTTAACAGTTATTTAAGTTAACCGTTCTGTTATAAAATTTCTGATAAATGTGAATAATCAAAACATAGAGACAAAAATTGTACTTTTGATGTAAAAATATGTGTTACGTATTTCTTTTAACATGGCCAAATGTTTCCAGTCAGCAAAAGGTTTTTCAAAAACTATGAAGTTCAAACAATTTTTGGATGCATTATGCATATAAAACAATGCTTGTAACAGCAGAGAAACATTCTGATGTGTCATATTTCTGCATGATCAAGAGCTATTACCTCATGTGCATGCCCATGTAATTTCCTACACATGTCAAAAGCCTTGAACAAAGCTCTCACTTTTATACATGTCAATGTGTATTGCACCAGCCTATGATGTAATCATCATTAGACTATAGCCCTCCACCAACAGGAAAGTAACATCCTCCATGTGGGTAATCCACACATGCATTAGCACAAGAACACAGGCTCATTCTAGATGAGGCAAATTAAATGCACCAGATGTGGGGAGGTAGGTAGTGCAGAAAGATGAGTATCTACTTGAAATACATTTTCAGGTTAGAAAAATGTTAACTTCGAAAAGGCTATTCACCCCTCTGGACCACCAAGAGCTAGAATTCCACATTAAAGATAGTATACAGGGCAATGCAGAGAATTTATAAAGACAAGCTCCTTTTGGAAAATAGCATTAGAAAGAGAAATCCCATGGAGTGTGACATCCACAAGGATATCATTGTGTGGGTTGTCTAGTAGAGCAGCACTCAATGGGAGATCGCATACATCTCAAGCAAAGAATGCTCTTTGCCCTACAGAGGTAGTAGAACAATTGTCAAAAAAATCTTTTGCTCAGTGCTAATGTATCACTAAGGAGGGCAGAATTGCTTAATCATCCAATATCTCACAGGTGGAGAGTTAATTATGAGTGTGTGATGTTGCTAAGGCTGTAAATCATGTGGGACTGAGTGAGCCACCACACCATGACAGGTTGAAAACAAGATAGTGTATCTCTGGAGATACTTGTAACTGGCAAACCACACACCAATGAATGGGACATGAATGAACATGTCTAAGAGGAATGAAAAAC